AAGCAGCAGCCGGAGAAGCGGCAACGGCAAGATGTGAGGCAGCACACACAAAAGGCGCAGGAATTAGCTTAAAATTGCAAACTTAAACCAAATGGCAAAAGTGGAAAGCAAAAAAAAAAAGGCAGAATAGAACGTAAGCACATGCCGATTTGTAAATACCCTAATACATGAGAGTAATTGTATTTAACTGAGCCATACCAAAATTATAAGCTAAACTTTACTTAATGATTGAGTTAAGTCTGTACGTTAAAATTCACATAAGCTTAAGGCAGGGACTTGAAATTCTTTTTAAGTAACAGTAATATAAGCCTACAATTTATTAGTAACTTTACAAGTAGCTTTACAATTTACAAGTTACTTTACAAGTAGCTTTACAATTTACGTTTCAACTTCAGGTAACCGTAACCTAAGCCTTCAATTTACACGTTACTTTTCAAGCAGCTTTATTATTGACTTTGCAAGTTATTTTACACGGAACTTTTTAATTTTTTTTCCATTTTTTTAATTTCAATACCCAACTTGTTTTTAACCGTAACCTTAGCCTTTAATTTACTTACACTTATACTTTGCAAGTAACTTTACAATGCGCCGTGTAATTAACAAAGAGCTTTGCACGTAACAGTTTGCTAACAGTTTTAAGAGACTCGCCGTACAGTAGAGAACAGAGTGGCAAGCAAAGCGGGCAGGGGGAATGAAGAAAATCGAAACAATTTCAAGAAGGACACTATGGAGAACGCCAGAAAGCAGCCAGCGATGAAAGTGATTCGAATTTTATGCGATGTACATAAAAAATGGAGAGAGTACAGGTAGTTCACAAAAAAAAAAATAAATAAATAAAAAAAAAACAAACAAAGAGCCAAGAGCAGAAAAAAGAAGAAGAAACGCAAAAAAGAACGGAAACAAGTCAATTTGCATTGCGGCTTAAACGAGTGCAGAACGCAAAAGCAGAGCCAGGAACAGGAACAGAAACGGGCCAAAGGATACATGACAAGCTCTGTGTGTTGTATGTGTGTGTGGGAGAGTGTGTGTGTGTATGAGCGCGCCTGAGTGTGCAGTGTGCAGTGTGTATGTGTGTGTGTGTGTGTATGTATCTGACTAAGTATGAGTGTCTGTGTGTGTGTGTATAGAAACTAAAGCCATCTAACAAAAGGGCAACAGCTAAAAAACAAACCGAAAATGTAAAAAAAAAAAATAAAAAAAAGCTCCACAATACCTTTCTGTGTGCGTGTGTATGTGTACGCGTGTGAGTGTGTGTGGGTGTGTGTGCAGTAAAAAATAGCTGGAAAGGCCAGAAGCTAATCATAAATGATGCATTTGGTCCCTCGGCGCCCGTTCGCCGCTATAAAATCCATTTTATCAAGCTTAACCCAGCTAATCAATCAACTTAGACTGCAAGTTATCAGCTTATAACTAGCCCCAAATCAAAAAAGCTGAAAACAAGAACAAAGCTTTACGAAACAGTCAAAACTAATTTTGTTGCTTCGTTTCAGGTTCAATTCATTGTTCAAACATATTTCTATTGCTGTTGCACAGCATCTGTTTTCAGTGTTGGTAAACGTACTTTCCGCCAGTTATGTGGGTGTTTGATCTAAGGATCATTGAAGTTAATTGCATGCCTTCTATTTGATTTGGTTTTTAATTATGTATAAGAAAAAAGAAAACACTTACAATAATAATGATAGGAGATGTAGATGTATATTTAAATTTAAAAATTATTTATATATATTCAAATAATATTAAAAAACAAGAAAGGAGGATATCTTCGGCACGCCGAGGCCTTTGTGGAGCTTGTAAATGAATTTGAAACAATTTTTTTGTAACACTAAATATTTTGCCACACATATATGGCAGCTAAGTGATATAGTAGTTCGTTGTTAATAAGATTTTGCATATATATTAGAAAAATAATGAAACTAATAAATGCCGGCTTGGGTCAACATATTTTCATAAAACATACGTTTTCTATAATCGAACAACTGATTGTTCCAATGACAACTATATGAAATAGTGTTCAGATCCGGTCTAGTTCTGCCTGCAACAAAAATATGAAGATATGTAAAGTTTCAAGACAATAGCTTTTAAATTGCGAAACTAGTTGGCATAGATACAGACTGGCGGGCAGATATAAAGGGACGGAAGGACAGACGGACAATGCTATGTCAATTCGCCTGCTGATGATTACCTTGAATGTACATACTTTATGGGGTCGTAGATTTCGTCTTCTATGCGTTACACAATTCATGATAAAATTCTAATACCCTCTACAAGGGTAGAACAATTAGTCTTTGATGTTAAGGATAACACATCAAATTTACGAGTTTTTCTTTTGGTATAACCATTTGGTAGACTGTTAACTTATTGTATGGTTCTGTTCCGTTTTCGGTTGGGTTTTTTGTGGGGCAACTGGTTTGGTTCGGATTCCAAATGATTTACTGCAGAAAAGTTTTGTTTGTTTTGTATTTCAATAGCCAGACTTTTCTATGGACATTTGGCAACACTACAAACACAGACGTGGCTACAGGATAAGTACAAGTTGAGCACAGTTGACTTCGTAACGCATTGACACAGCTAGGTTGAGAAATTAATATTATTTCAACTCTGGTTGGCAAACAAGAGCTTCCTCCTTGGGGCTATGATTTGATAATTAACAATCTATTCGAGTTCAAAATAAAATAAAATATTTTGCGCATTATTTTGTTTATATTACTCAAATCGCAAACACAATAAGGACAATAAACAGAATGTTGGCTCATAAATAAGCAAATGTTATGCGTCCATGAATTGTGCATAGCATTTTTGGCAACACTGGCTATTAAAAAGGCATTAATTGAATCGTAATACACACACAAGCACACACATCAACAGCACACGCACGTACACGGTCCGCAAATGCAATTATAGACCGTCATTTGCATATATGGTGATATATACCACGTACATGAATGTACTATAAATATGGCATGGCAAAGTGCGTTTTAAATAGCTTTACCAAATGCTCTAGATATACACTATATCAGGCAGAACATGTGAGCTGTGTGCAAGCTTTTGCAACATGCAACAAAGGGGATATGTCAAAAATGAAAACGTTTGCAAGTACTTTGACCATTGATCCTGCTCACATTTCTATTTAAAGGTATTGTCAATTATCTCAAATTTCTTTAATTACACTTAATTACTTTAATAACATACTGTCTGCTTATAATTCGCCAGTGGTTGATGCATTTATTACAACAAATAGTTGGACAAAGTTTGTTGTGTTTTGTGCACTTTGCTTTTACAGCCTGCTACAAAATTGGGCCGTAAGGGAATCTGGGCGTCGTTGATTGGCATGGTGTGCATGTTTTTTGTGTGTTTATATTCGTATTGTATTGTCCATGTCAGCGCTAATTGAGCGATGACATGCATAGAATGCAGCTCTATGGAATATAAATCAAATCGTCGGCTTCAAAAGAAAATGCGAATTTGCAATTTGCAGAACGCACACAATTCAACCATGTAAACAGATTGTATGCTTTAATTACATTATTTTATTATATTTATATTTATTATTATTATAAAATCAACAGAACAAACAACTAGCGAGTGTGTGAGGATTTCAATATTACTGCGTGCCATAATCCAATTGAAATTTTATAGCTGAGAGTTGATAGCCGTGCGAAAGTGCAGATTCGATTAGGTTTGCAATTGGTTTTTGATTAAGTGCGCCAGCATTAAGTGAAATGGAATGCCATGCTGCATATAAAAATGAATACAAATAACAAGGCATTGTTTATAGTCAAATTTGTTCCAGCTAATTTTCTGTCATTTCTGTTTGTCAAGACATAACTAATTTAAATTATTTATTAAGAACTGTTTATTCCGATAAACGTATTTGTTGCTTGTAAGGAAGATAATAATTGTGAAAAATGGGTGGAATCGATCAGCACCTTCTGCTCTCTACCAAGCGAAAGACTGTGAAAAAGGGGTTTATTTACAGTGTTATGCAGCTTGCATGAAAAGTTCGTTGTTAATTATACGAAAGTACTAAAAATCATGTTCGTTCCTTTTACACTGAATGAAAAATGAGACAAAAGAGCGTATGCTTAATTTTTCGTCTCGAGTTTCATAGTCAATTTTTGTTTTAATTCCATTTTAAATTATATATGCTTTATATAATAAGAGACGTGGTAGTAGGTAGTAGAGGAAATTTCAATTTCGGGAAACTGATGTCTACTATTTAATGCACAAAACTTCGCCAATGCTGGGTAATATTCGGAAGTAGCAAATTTTTGCTGAAAAAGTTCACAAATATCGCGCTTTTGTTTTGCCTCCTGTCCATTAAGTTATTCAAAAGTGTAAAAAGGTCGAGCTTATTTGCTTAAAATATTGAAGACGACATAATCACGGCCATAACAGTTTTAAAGACCGTGCTCGTGCTTTTCGCTGACTTTATGACTAAATCAACGGTCGAGTCAGAGATTTGGCATATGTACAATATGTCCCATAAGATTCAAGCATATAAACTTAACATAAGATCCATATGGGCATACAGAATAGTTTAGGTTAAATGTATTTTCTATTATTGACTTTATACATCTGTTCTATGCCAAAATTACCAAAATAAGCTGCAATAGATCCCGAATTAAACGCATTCACAGCACCAACGATTTATGTACGTACATAGAGATGGATGTGGGCGCAATTGCTTTTTTAATTTTGGCCACAAATACTTAATGAATTTAGTTAATCAATTGGATTTGTGTGTGCTATTTTCATTAACTTCAAGGCTTAACCCACTTGGTAGGCCGACGACACACACCAACTAGCACACACACACACACACACACATACACATACATGCACATTAAGCTCTCGTCGAAGGAAGCTACAATCCTTAATGGTAACCAATCCGTGGAGGAAATTTCATTAGCCCGAAGGCAAATGGCCGTGCGTAATAGCGTGAAAAGAAAACAAAAAAAAAAAAAAAAACAAGAAAAAACAAAAAAAACGTAAAATGCTAACGTAAACAGACGTAAATAAATAATGAACATTGATTGTTTATTTGCCCAAGATGAAGAACGGACACCAGTTCGCAATAGGGGACACAGACAGGAATAAGGACAGAAACAGGAATAATAACAGGAACAGAACATGCTTACGATTCCGATGCGTACACATAATAATCAACCAACACACACATACACGCTTATTATCCCATGAAATAACAATAAAAAGATGGATTTAAAAAACAACTAAATTCATATGATAATAGAACTTTTACGGAAATGTATAAAACATATGTTATGCTGTACATCAAATGTAACTATGCTGAAAATGTTATAACTTTCTGTACAGCAAATTTTCCAACGATGCCAGAAATGTAATATCTTTTAACAAATAAAACGTTTAAATGTCCACCACATGCAGCAAAATGTGTCAGCAAAACAAAAGTTCACGAGTTTGCATAAGCAACAGCTGTTTTTACCAGCTGTTAGCTTAACAGCTCTCTAATATGTTATCATTATTGTATGCTTTGCGAAAAAAGTTCGTTTAAATGCTTTTCATTAACTTCTCTTGACTTTCTGCAAAAAATTCTTTGTTTTTGTTCCACAGTAGAGGAAGAAAAAGGCGAGCGTCGTGTGGAAATGCCTTGACGAGGTTAATTGATGTTGTTGGTTGAGCCGCCGTTTCACTTGGCCAAAGTGCTTGGGCTGGCCAAGACAAACACACACACACACACACACACACACACACACACACACACGCATGTTTTTGTGTATTTGTGTTTGTGTTTGTGTGTATATTTGGTCATGGACGATAATGTTTCAGTGTTAATTGGCGGGTCAGCAATGGTGCACGTCGCATAAACGAACGAACAAGCGAGTGAGCAGGAGGCATCTGTGCCAGTCGCGAGACAATATGTAGATTAAAGGCCAGACCAGACAAGGGGTTGGGGGCACAGCTGGGTGCCATAAGGAGGGCACGAATAATTCTTATATTGCAATTGAGTTGACGCTTCGTGCGAAGTAATACGATACACTTACTTAAAGCCATCAAGTGCTCAATTGAAACGTTTTGCTGCAATTGCTTTCATTTTATTTGGAGAGCACCAGACAAAATCTGGGCTAAAGAGTCGCTTAGAAAAAGGAAAACGCCTTGAGATGCTACACTTAACACAGAGTTCACGTAGTAGTTAAATAGATAAAGAGATCTATGGAACTGCTTGGAAAAATTGTGATTAAGTCAGCGTTGTTTGTGGCTCGAAAACATTTTGAAATGGGATAATAACTTTCAATTTCTATTCATGCGTTTATAATTTCGCGGTAGAAGCTGGGCACATTTAAAGCAGTTTCTACCGAGCCCTTGGAAATCCACTTTAAATTCATTATTTCACTTATTCGACAGTTTTTTTTTTTTTTTTTTTTTTTGGCTGTCTAAGATTTAATTACAGTCTTATAAAATTTCTTTGCAGTTTTCTTTTTTTATTTTTATTTTTTGCTTCCTACATTTACTCAATTTGCGTTCTCAGCACTTACCGTGGGCACTTAAATGTGGAATCAAGTTATTTATGGTTAAGTAAAGTCATTTACCTGTAAATATAAGACGAAAGTTGCAGGTTAACTAAAAGTGAAATACATATAATATAACTAAAATAGAGGAATGGTTATTAAAAACTTGTACAGATAATCTCTATCGAATATATATTTATTTTTGTACAATCATCAAATTATTTATTTTTGTTATTGAGAAATTGTCGTGAAATTGGAGCTTAAGCTGCACCAGCTTAAGTTTATTGTGTAGATTTTAGTTTAATTTAATTTAATTAATAATTCAATTTAATTTATATGTAGAACTTCCATGTGTAGTTCCATATATATAGATCTAGTTTAGATAATGATAATAAGATTTCGTTTACAGCGAAATAAGAATATTTGTTGGTACACTGAACACATTAGCTTTGTTTTACTTTTAAACAATTCTGACATTAACACAAATATGGAAAATAACAGTTAAGCAGGTTAAGGCTCTTTCTGTGATTCTCAAATTAAGCAATTGACAAAATAGGATTGGACTGTTTCTTTGTCAATGCTAAAATCAACTCATTATGTCCAAATCATATTTTTCCTATGAGTCCACTTTGCTCACTGTCTTACTCTCTCTCTCTCTCTCTCTCTCTCTCTCTCTCTATTGCTTTTTCTCTCGCTTTCTCTTTTTGCATTTGACATATGTGTTTTAATTTGACTACTCCTTGAGAATTGCCATTGCCATGCGGCCAATGTGTTTAAATAATTGAAGCAGCTGCGTCCTTGTCAAAGGCTCTCAACTATGTGTGCGTGTGTGTGAGTGTGTGTAAGTGTGTAAACAGGTGTTTGTGTTTGTGTTTGTATATTGCGTGTGTGGTTGGGTCTTCATTGAATGCGATTTTAATGCACTTCTTGTGCAGCTGTGCATAAGAAATCAGCCAAGAAAAATCTGCACTTACATTTTCATAGATTTTTCATACCCGCTGTATAACATATGCCACGAGAGGCTGGCCTCTATGGGGGGCATATAGGGATTGGGCTCATCATGTCTGTGCATCTGTTTATGCCTGTTATAAGTCGCCGTGTCTTGTCAGGCTTATAATACGCACATAATGGCGAGCCCTTCTTATATTTTATATTGGATTTACAGCAGCCACTGTGAAGAAATCTTTTTCTCTCTTTCTGTCTCTCTCTCTCCCTCTCCCTCTCTCTCTCCCCCTCTCTCTTGACATAGACAATGGCACACAGCTAATGCCCATCTTTTACTCCCGATGTACATTTGTACGGCTGTGTTTAGGTGTGTGTGTGTGGGTGTGGGTGTGTATGCCACGCCCATAGAGATCCCGTTACGTGCGCTGCGAACGTTGACAGGTGGCAAATGAAAATGCGGTTTTAACATTTGCATTTGACGCGTTTTGTTGCGCTTATTTAGAAAATGGCGAAAAATGCAACATGGCTGCCATTCACAGCTGATGGCGCGCACACACACACACACACAACTGCATAGCATGTTGTTCATTTTGTGTCTAGTTTAACATTTGCTTTACCAACACTGTCTTTCGTTTTTATTTTCTTTACTTATTAACACACCTTCCACTGTACTTTTTTATACGACAGCTTTGTGGACGACTGCCAAAGTTTGAAGACAAGAGAAGAGCACAAGAATAAGAGCTTTGAGTTAACTTTCTATCTGTCAAACCCTGTTTTGGAAGTACTTCAAATAGGAAATTTATACTTCAAGCATTGCATTTGCCTTAACTTGAAGCAAATTTTTTAATTCACACCAAATTCCACGCTGATGAGATTAAAATTTAATTAATATGATATAAATAAAAATATATGAAAAAATGTTAAAGCGATTTTAAGAAAAGAATAGATGAAGTCCCAATGATATATGAAGGCTAAAGAGAAACATTACGAACAATATTTAAGAGTGAGAATATTAAATAAATATATTTGAATATACATTTTTTTCTTGATTTACCTAATAGACAGAGCAAAGCATTACTGACCTTATAAGGCATATATGTTCTTGGTCGAATCGACACAAACTACCATCTGCCCATCTGCAAGAGCCTGTCGATCTCGGTAATTACCGATGCAGAAGACTCTAAATACGCAAAATTTTCTCTCTTTGAATACCTCCCACCATTTGTTAAGCTAGAACCCTGCGATATGTTATATATAGACTCTTGTATGGCATCGGACTGTAAATACCGGAGCTGATCACAAACGCTTTTTCTTAAAATGTTTGGAAATATGGCTTATTTTTCTCATAGGATAGGCCTAGTTCGGCGTATCTTCAGTGTATCTTCGAGTCGGGCATACCCAACTAGAGCACTCTTTTAATTTTTTTCCTTTTCCGCTTAATGCCAAAATGTTATTAGCGCTAAGAGCACATCCTTGTACAGGCACACACTTAAACACACTCACCTATACAGAGAAACAAGTGCATATTCATATACATCTAAATGTACTTATATATACTTATTTATCAAGAATATAAGTGTATATATATTTATATATTTAATATTTAGTGGCCACTTAGCAAACGCCGCTAAGTACACAACGCCATTTGCCGCTGCGCTGCTGCGGCAATCCTCATATTTAAAATAAAATATTAAAGAAAATACTATAAATAGAAATCGTAAAATGCTATGCAGCTAGGGAAATGCGAGAGTAAGTGTCCCATTGGCGACTGCGCTTGGCTAATTATGTTTCCAGTTACCAGCATCGAGTGCCAACAGCAGCTCAAGCGGAAGAGTGAGAATAACCCTAAGAGCAGCTGGGAAGCCCATAAAAATAGAACTGCTAAGAAAGAAAAAAAAAAAGGAAATCGCAAAAAATAATAATATCGGGGTGCCAGGGGTAAAATAATCCATACAGACACTCCATTATTTGACCTTTTGCAAACAAGTTTATTGTTCTTATGATTAAATCTTTGAATGATTGTTATTATTGTAGTTATAATTTATATTGGTAGGATATAGATAAGATTTCCCCAGGCTATACGAAGCACAACTAAGCCCGTTCATTTAGGTATTAGAAGGCTTTTATAAAGCTGCGCTGTTCAGATTTCTGTAGAGAAGCCGTTCTCATGGAAATATTTAACTCTGTTTGTCCTGACTGACTGACTGACAGACTGACTGATTGGTGATCAATGCACAGCCCACACCGTGAAAGCTAGGAAGCTGAAATTTTCACTGTAGTTACCTTATGTGATGAAGGTGCACGTTAAGACGGGGTTTCGGGAAATTCCACCCACATGAATCTATTTTGTTTACCATTCGATTGGCCTCAAACTCAATTTCAAAGTTCTTTGTACAAATTCAATTGAGGGGTGTTTCACACTTTTCGTAGGATATATATAAAATCAAATACTACCTAACCTACTTGCAATTAATCAAACACAATATGCTCCAGAGTTAATTAAGTGAAAAGACTTTAGTTGAGATGTGTTTAAAGTAACAGTTGGCGCAAAACCGGGTCAACATCTATATGCATAAAAGAGTTTGTCCCGACCAACTGACTGACTCGTTGCTGATAAACCGCGCGGTAAACGCCAGGTTCTTGCAGCTGAGCATGAGAAATTTATAAACAACAACGCACTTATTTAGATGTGCCTTGCAAATGTCGAGTTGCCTGTCTGTGTAGCTTGCGTTCTGAGCTTCAGACAAGCAAGTGGCAGCTCGCCAGGCAACGAATTTTAGTTTTTCGATTTGCTTGTTTATTTTACACAATAAAAAATTACCAAACAAGGCTATGGAAATCGTATGAGTGTTAACAATAACACTAAAAACTTTATTTTCGCTAGTCAACTAACCAATTGTGTCCTATGCATTCATCGGGTATATCTTTGATGCCGAGTCGATTCTGGCTGATCGTCTGTCTGTTTCTATGCAAACTTATCTCCCAAAGTTCTTTGTTTTTTCAAATGTCCAGCGAAACTTTACAAGTTGAAGAAATCTTAGTAAAGCAATCATTTTGCCAAATAAAAACCCCAATTCGATCGATTCTTCCTACATTGCAATATGACAGTTCCCGATGCTGATAAGATATACACACACCTTTTCTTATCTTTTTTTATCTAGATATCTTTACCCAAATCGTTGATAACTAACTACGCATTTCTTCTCATTTCGCCGTAAGTCTTAAAGGATATACAATTCGAAATATTCAAATTAAACTACAGCAGACACGCGTTCTTTTAATAAATTAAAAGTAAGAGGGAATGCACAGACGCGTGTTGGCAATTCTTTTGGCCCAGCATAAAAAATGTGATCCGGACAATGCCGGCTAACATTTAGTTATTTATATAAATGCATTTGATTTATGTGTAGCATGTTTTAATGTTGCAAAGTGCCTGATTTTTGGCTCGATGCGGAACTCTTCGTTTTTGAGTTCAGCAATGCAAAAAGAATTCGCGCAGCTTTGCTGTGCGGCCAAATTGTTGTTTTTTTTTTCCTACAAACAATGGCGGCAGTTAATTGGCGCATAACTTGGCCCCACACACACACACACTCGCACACACACACACACACACACACTGGCACGCACACACACAAAAGGAAAACAAACTGAACGCCTAATCTACAATTGACACACATACGCGCAAACAATGAGGGAAACTCTTTGCACAGCCTTAGCCCCAAAAACACTGACGACAAACCCCGCTGCCGCCACTGCAAACCCCCTTCCCCCCCCCCCCCCCCCTCCCACCACTGCTTTCCTGTACATCTCGGCAACGTCACAGAGGTGCACAAACAGTGCTCCAATCGACCCACCAAAGCGAGCAGCTCGCGCTCTTTTCTCATTATTTATGTGCGACCTTGTTTTACGCCATTTTTATTATTTTGCTAATTTCGCGCGCATTATAAAAAAAAAAAGAACAAAAACAACAATAAGACACACACATGCATTAATTTCCAGCACAGACACGCATATAACCTCAAATATAACGGTAGTAAAAATTATTTCCACGCAGTTTCACAATAAATTTACGCTTAGGAAAAAGCGTGCTTAAATCTTTGCCCATAATTTTCTATAGAGCCCGATTAAAATATTAT